GTAAAATCGCTAATCCTGAAGGTCCCGATCAGGATTATGGGACAAACTATTTAAATTATTGCATTGTTTTAAAGGAGGTGAAAATTTCGTTCAAAGATTCCGTTACATACATACCTACCAAGCGTGTTAAAAATAAAGATTTATCTTCCAACCAGATATTTATATATTTCTTTCACTTTATTTTATACTCCTTGTTCCTTATTTTATTTATTATTCACCCGATACCACTTAATTATATACAAAACAATATTTGTCACACTAGATCGCATTAAATATATATTATTGCAAAATAAATGTAAAAAAGGTGAATGAATTTTAAAACGAAAATACCACCGACAACACAAATAAATAACTATAGGAACAAAATAATACTGTTGATAATAAAAAAATCTATCCTAACAAATTTTGGAAAAATAGCAGCGTCATGAACCTCTGCATTTTAAAAATACATTTCGTTTATCGCAAAAATATTTTTTGTTTACATATCGCTTTGCATTAAAATATTTTTTTACGTTTTTATAATACTAATAGTCAAAACACATTGTGTTTACATTTGAAAACTAATAAACAGTTTTGTACGAGTAGTTTCAAACGAGACTGAATTATATTTAAATAATATTTTAATCAATAAAAGGGATAAAAAATGGCAGTACTAAAACTGAATAGTCGAATTTATAAATTCGGGAAACGCTAAAATGGTGGTCCCCACCTTTTCGAGACCGAGGCCCATAGGGGTAAACTCGTAGCGTAACAAAAACGAGAAATGATTTAACTTGGAACGAAAGACCGAAAGCCGACTCCTAGTATTAGGATGTTGAATGTGAAAAAAAGTTTTGAAAAATGGGGATAAGAACATTTTTTCGTCTGCACGAATGCAATACTGAGGTCCCACAAGAGAAACTGTTGCCATGGAAACGCTTGTCATGCTAACGACTAAATAAATCCCATAGTGAGAAAATGCCTAGTTGCCAAGTTATAAATGGTTTCATTTTCACATTTCTGATTTCGTCGAAATTTTAAATTTAACATAAGACATTATGTAACCACCATATTGTAACCAAGTATGTTGTGGTTAGCTTATAAGAAAATGCCTTAAAAGTATCCACCGAGTGACGTCACAGTTAACCCAGCACAAATTAAACTAATTCAGCTATCCTCTTTTTGATAGTACTCATTTATCAAACAAATAAATTCACTTGATTCAAAAAAGTTTTAAAAACTTTTGGATAACACAAAGTAATTATTGTTTCAAAGTTTTCGAAAAGTACATTGTTTATTACTTTATAGATGACGTAATATTAATATTTAAAAATTATGTACTACAACAATTTAATTAAAATCAATAAATAAATTATTGGGTGTGACCGGAAATAAATTAATAGAACTGCTTTTAAAAGAGTATGGAAATTTTATGTCAAAAATAAGGTATTTTTTTACATTTCTTTTTTATGTTGATTTTAATTGGACACTTGGCAACACCGCGCTAATTTGTATTTGCATGAGAGATATAATTCTAAAGATTATTTGTAATGTATGGAATGTTAGGAATCTTAGACGTTAGGAATGATCGGAATGCGTAAAATAAGTCGCATTGAAATGCACACGCGGATTTTAAGAACATATTAAACTAGTTAGGATGAACCGAGATGTCATTTATATATTTTTCTTCTGGAATTGTTTGATAGATTATTAGAGTAGGTCCCCTTGGTGTGAATTTTACCAACGACATATTCCATAGAAAGCGGCACTGGATTACTATTTGAAAGTTATGATTACAAATTAATTTAAAAATAAAACACAATTTCTTGACAATAAACTATAATTTATAACGTCCATATTAATTCAACGATATTTGTTTTTAATAAAATAAAAAATATTATTACAATACATATTTCTCTGCCTATTGCTTTTTTATCGCCTTAATTTTTGATTGGAAAAAATTAATGTTTCTAATTCTACACATGAATGTAGATTTACTTATATAATAAAAATCATTTAATAGTTAGTTTTAATTAAACATGAATAAAAAAAAAACAATAGTACAATAAATTAAATTTGATTAAAAATCGAATAAGTTTATTAGATGTTAGGCAATTAAAACTTATCTAAAAAAATATGCCCTTCATAAAAATAAAAATTGTTTAATTGTTTCCTTTTTTATTTATTTATTTGCTATGAGCAGTGATTCAAAAAATATGAAGGCGTTGAATAGTTTTGATTCCATTATAATTTTTTCAATATGTTGCTCAGTGCAATTTTATACAAAAAAAAAAAATTACAAAATTAAAAAATAAATTAAAACGAAGAACCACCGTTGAATGTGAATATCTCGAAAACCAATCAACAGTTTGAAACAACAGTACATGATTTATTAAAAAAAAAAATATCAAAAAACGTAAAGGTATAGTCTAAATAAGGTTTTATACAGTGGCGTAAAATTTATAGGGGTAGGGGATGAAAGTGTTACTTATCAATGCTGTACGCCACTGGCAAAGTTTATTTAACTGATTGCTTTGCTGATAAGTGTACCTTATAACATCAAAAATGCTTACCAAATTTAGTAAAATGATATTAAGATATAAATAAGTTATAGAATAGAATAATGTGTATTTATCAAAAGATAATAAGTACAGAAAATAAAGCAGATACATTATTATACCTCGGTATAATAATTGATCAAAATTTGAAATGGGTTGATCACATTACGTCATTAATAACCAAAGTTAGAAGCATTATTCTGATTTTTTCAAATAAAATGGCCAAATAATTATTCTATGGGGTTGTGACAGAGAGCCAGTAAAATTGATGAAGGTGTTTTTGTGGCTAGGGGCGAAATAGTAGTAATCTTAAGCTAGCATAACCATAAAAAAGTCATTTTTCAGAAACTGCTTATATATTTTTCATAATTTGGCAGGCTTGGCGACTAATTTCGAATAAAAATAGCCTTCAAAATGGCTATGGTTGCAAGTATGAAGGTCGCAACCCGCCTTTGAAATCTCACCTTTAGAACCAACAGCTGTTGTTTGACAAGACATTGTAGAATGTGTGCAATGTATGGAATGTTAAGAATGTTAGGAATGTTAGACGTTAGGAATGAGTCGAATTCGTTAAATTAGTCACATAAGAAATGCATAGGCTGATTTTAAGAAAATTGATATTAAAGTAGTTAGGATGAACCGAAAATTCTAAAAATCAATATGGTTTTAAGTTAGAAGTAATTATTCAAGAATATCAAAACCGCAAGTCAATCAGAACTTTCTTTCTAGAGTTATCGTGCCGGTGCCGGCATACATACACACAGACGACCAGACGAAACATTTTTTTGCATTTTCGGACTCTGAATGATCGGAAATGTGAAAAAAGTTTTGAAAAATGTGTTTACATGAACGTAAAAATATAGAGAAAATATCTTTCAAATGAGGTATCACATAACCCTACTTTCCATTAGAAAATTTAAAGCTAGTAACTCCCTCTATCTTACGTGTCTTAAGTCAAGTGCATCTCGTTATAACAAAATTATAATACATCTTGAGTTTTACCTCGTTGTTTTGTCATTATCCTTTTGTATTTAGAAGTTAAAATAGAGGAGGGTACAATTTTCGTTCTCACTGTATATAATACATTCGTTTGTATTACCTTTTTTTGACAGTTTTTCGAAAAAAACGCTTAAAAATGTTCAACTTATCTTTAAAAGTAACCTCAGAAAAGCAGAATGAATTAAATATAAGAAATGATTGTATACATTTTAAATAAATGAAATGAGAAATATTTTGTCTTATAAATCACTATTTATAAAATCCTAATAACAGAAGTATCATTTGTTACCATTTAATATATGTAGAATAGGTGTGTTATAGTTAACTTTTTGACTATCTCGAAATCTAATATGTTAAAATAATTTTAAGTTACGATAAGCAATTGAAAATTTCAAATAAGCGAAGAGAAAATTGTTCGAGATAGCCCGAGAAAGCTCGAGAGAAACGAGAAATTCTCGTCGAGAGATGACACTCTCTCGTTTTGTCACGAATCTGTTTTCGAGAGAAAATGTCTCTCTCGTCTCGTTCGAGACGAGACAAGACGAAACGAGAGACAAGAATCTCTCGTCTCGCGGCATCACTAGGTAGAAGTAAACCTCAAAATGTATTGATTGAATAGATCATTCGGTTAGACAGAAGGAGATAGATGATCTTAATGCTTCTAAAACCTTTGGAGTTCCAAGCGAAAAATTTGGCGGTAGACATCGTTGACTTACCATCTTGCTCTGAAGACTAAATGGGTGAGCATTGGGTTCAATATATCATGTGCTATATCTGGGCACATGAGGATTGTATAGACAATTCAAAAAATTCATTATTTGTTGTTTTATTTGTTATTATTTTTATTAATTTCAAATTTTGGATACCCTCTCCGAATAATAAAGGAAATTCACTATTACAATGCCCGCTGAAGCTAGTCATGATTTTAATTGTATTTCTAAAAAAATATTGATCAAATGAAAAATTATCCAAGAGTAGGATACTTTAAGGTAATAATTAAATCAAATTTTGTTTCTAAATAAATTAAATCTGTTTAAAATGCCGAAAAACTATCAATTATACAATTTTGTTCAGATCCGGCTCGAAGGACCATGAATCACAAAGGAGGGTACTTAATAAAGTTTCTTTCAATTGTAATATGAGGTATTAACTAAATGGTATTGAAAATTTTGGTATAAATTTGTTGGTCCAGATATTAATAATCTTTCTTGAATCATTGGATGTAAAAATAACTTACAAAATTATTAATGGCTTTGAGTTTAGGGCAAAAAAGTACTTTAGTTTTTTGAGAGTGAGCAACATTGTCATTAATATCAAAAATTATTTCTTTCTGACATTATGGCATGACGGTTGCCAAGCAATTCTATTATACACATAGATTTTTAAAATTTCCTGCTAAAAAATGAATTTTTAACAAAATCTGAAAACACCCAAAAGTTTATACGTTAAAGTAAAATTTTTTACCTTAAGTAATTCCCTAAAATATGGACTGCACGCTGATAGGACGACTCTGTGTGCTTTCAGGCTCTTGCCGTCACACGCCAAAGTGACGTCTACAAAATCTTCATCGTCTCGTAGGTTCTCGAAGGCTGATGTTATACTGCTTTGATAATTGTTCCAACGTAGGCAAAAATGTTGTGTATCTACCATCGTAAAAAGTATTCACCTGTAACAACAAAAAACGCAATTAAAGATACATATAGAATTCATATCAATTTTCATATTACAAATAAAAACAATAAATTTAAAAAGGCGAAATAAAAAAAATTACAAAAAATTTGAGGAACTTAAAAGTAAATTTAACATAACAATATAGACAATGCACATAATTATTAAAATAATATATTACATAACGGAACTAAAAAAAATTAAACCAGGAGTACCACAAGGAACAACATTGGGACCTATTCTGTATTTGTTACACATTAGTGATATTCTAAAACTAGAAAATTATAGAATAAGTTATGAAAAACCAATAACGATTATTCTTGAGTAATTAGGTTTTGAGTTACTCACTGCAATTAAGGTGAAATGTTTCTAACAAGTTTTTCTAAACATAACTAATAACCTTTACTCGGAAAACAAAGAAAGGCTAAACAAAACGAACCAAGTAAAATATCTGGGTCTAATCCTAGACAGCCAACTTACTTGAAACCAACACTTACAAAAAGTGACCAACAAATGTAAACTGTCAGAATTGCTGTTCTACCAATTTAATAACTGTTTCTAAAGTTTTACACTTTTTAAACTGCAACACGCCGTTGTATATTGAAAACAATAAATTTGCGGTATTTTGACAGTACTCTTTTAAATGAGAATGTTCCCTTGATTCAGAAACTATAAATTAAAATATTTTGTCCAACCGATTCCCACTAGTACGCTAATGAAACAAAATGCTGTCTCTATGCCACCCCTCTATTAAATTCGTTCATAAGTTTTCCGACAGATGGAAACATCATTGAATTTGTTCAACGAATAATGTAGAATAAAAGAAAAATAGTTTCGTATTTTATCCCGTATGTTATTAATTCAGAAGATTGACATTTCTAAATAAAGATTGACCTATGCGAGCGATATACAGCATCGATTTTTTTCACACTTTTTGTTCTTGATGAAAGGAGGTAGACAGGAAAACCTTTCTTGCCCTATCTGTGACCTTTACTTTGAATATACGTTTCATTATTTACGAATTGGTTTACGATTTCCTCAAAATTTTATTAGGATTTAAACAGAAGTGGGTTTTAAATGTCTTATGTGTGCTAGAATTTGTATAAGAAGACTTGCTAATATTATCAAAAAAGTTCGCAAACCAGTTGTAAAAAAATTAATAAATATCGGTTCAAAATTAAAAAATCTAGGGGGCATTGTTCTACTCTTTTTAATAACAATTTTAAACTATGAACTCCTAAAAATAGAGACTCTAGTTTAATTATATAGATTTTAAATTAGAGAAATGTGTCCATAAAGTCACCCCTTTTTTATTTCCAAAAAATTAGAGGTTGTATTATTAGTATATTGAAAACTACAATAAAATTATATCTTAAAGCTGTCAATCACGTTCATTGACGAATTCAGATGCAATTTCTGTAATGAAATATTATATTGGGCAAGACTGGATAGTATAAGGGCGCAAAATCAAGTACTCTATGAAATGTTATCATGGTTTCGTTTGTAGTTGACATCTGTTCGAGTTTTTCTGTCAGTTGCAAAGTAGATACTTGAGAAATTAATTATGAATCGGGTCGGTAGTGTAGCGGTCTAACGCGCTTATATTCATTTATAGGCAAGTTTATGAGTCTGAGACTGCTGGGCTTCGAATCCCAGACCAGACCATGTGGATTTTTAATTAAATTGCATGGTTCGGTTTAGGATTTGATGTGTGCCGTATTAATAGAAATTCAATTTCTGTTGATATGACATGCAGATTAAAAAATCGCCATGCATTACCGTCTCGATGATGGTGGGTGAGGTTTTCCGCGTTTTCCTCACCTGTAAGTCAAATGGCACCATCAATCATCTTTAAGTCGCCCCGGAGCGCCACGGCAAATAATAATAATAGCCGTCCCTTCCCCTACACAAGTCGTTCAGTCGACTTCAGGGGTTGAAATTCACTCGTAAGGGGGTGAATTAGGGAGAGTATTATTATTATGATACGTAACATATATGACAAGTTTACTGTCTAATTAAAATAACTGTAACTTTGATTGTGACCACTACAATAGAAGTTTTTCCTACACTAACATGGATATTGGCCTATCTACGCACAGACTACAGAACGAAAAAGTATGTTATTACGTTCAACTGAACGAATATATTTCATATCCATTCCAGGTACTTAAAACACTGCAAAATAGTAGTTTGTGCAACAAGAGTGGATATGATGGCTATCGCACGAAGACGAAATTTGAGCAAGACGCTGTAGGCGGAGTTCTCAATCGTCTGAGTGCGATGTGGACAATCCACTCGAGTTGTACAGAATATTTTTTCTACGACCCACTAACCAAAATTTACAAATAAAAAAATATTTTAGGTTATTAAGACAAAATAACTAATTTTAAAATAATTTATGAATTTTAATAATTTTTAAAATAAAATAAAGGAAAAAAAGTTAATTTTATTTTTCCCCGTTCGAGAATCGAACTCCAGTCTTCCACGTGGAAGGCCAGAACCCTAACCACAGGACCATCTACGGGTTTATTTTTTTAATTTTTTTATCTAATACTCGTAATTAAATTGACTTTATATAGTTTTATTTAAATTAACAAATTATTTATAATTATAGACTAAATAAAAATAGAAATTCTATTATTTATCGATTCTATACAAGAATAACTCATTTTAATGTATATTTAATCTCAGTAACTAAAAAATATACTGACAATTAGTTTGACAGAATTGTCACTTGATCAAAATATGAACTGTGATTGGTGGATTTCTTTTTTTTGCACTTTCTCACTATACCTAGAATGGATATGAAATATATTCGTTCAGTTGAAGGCAATATCATACTTTTTCGTTTTATAATCAGTGCGTAGATAAGCTAATATCCATGGGGGTGTAGAAAAAAATTCAATCCACCAATCACAGTTCATATTTTGGACACCAACAACTATTATTTTTAAAATTTTAAATAAGTGACAATTCTGTCAAACTAATGGTCAGTATAATTTTTTGTTATTGAGAATAAATATACATTAAAATGAGTTATATGGCCAATTCACTCAAGTTGTACAGTATATTTTTTCTACGACCTACTATCGAGGTTATTAAGATAAAATAACTAATTTAAAAATAATTATTGACTTTTACTTATTTATATAATAGGATAAATAACAAAAAAAGATATTTAATTAGTCTCCAATTCTACCACTGAACCCGACACCTGTGGATGAAAGTCAGATGTCCTAGTCTCTGCTCCACCCCCACACATAATTAGTTTTAATTCTCGTAAATTAATTTCATCTATTTTTATTAAAATTTATGATTTAATTGGAAATATAGACAAAATAAAAGTAGAAATACTATTATTTATCGACTCTACACTAGAAAAACTCATTTTAATGTATATTTAACCTCAATAACTAAGAAATATGTCGATTGTTATTAATTTGACAGGTTACCAAAATATTTTTTCAATGTTCTTACTAGGTATAATGAATATGAAATATATTCGTTCAGTTGAAAGCTGTGGCATACTTTTTGGTGTTGTAGTCTGTGAGTAGAATAGCTAATATCCATGTGGGTATAGAAAAATTATTGAAAAATGCACATTCTAAAAATGTTGACAAAAAATAACATGAATTAATTTCAGAAGTGTATTACAGTTTAGTTTTAAATTAATACTAGCCCTTTATATTCTATAAAGGCACGTACGTCTATGTGTTAAATATTTTCGGATTTTCTAAATGTGTTGAAAATATGTAATGAAAAATTCCAAATAAGTAATTTTAACGCCATATGACACATTTTTAATATATTTAAGTATTCAAATAGGTGATTATAGCAAAAAAAATATTTTCTTATTGATATGATAAATTATCTGTAATTTCCAAAAGATTCAATTCACACCTCAGGTATAGAGTAATCGAATATTAGACGAGAATAAATAAATGCAATAATATAAGGGGTGTTCCATTGAAAAGAACATGAGGATGACCATGCGAAGTAGAGGGTGAAAGTTACGATAAAAGCTATTTAAAAGGAATGAAGGTGTTACGCTACTGGTTAAGTTTATTTGACTAAAATTTTTGTTGGTGACACCAAAATTTAGTAAAATTATACTAATAAATAAAAAATATAGCCATAAATAATTTTTAAATTTTATGTTTAATAAATTAGTAGTTTGTATAACAAGAATTGGATATAATGGCCATATCGCACAAAGTTTGAGCCCGACGCTGTATACAGACAATCCACTCGAGTATAGAAAATATTTTTTGTTTAATCCACAAACGAACATCTCAAAATTTTAAAAATTGTTTTGGGTTTTTAAGATAAAATAATTAAACAATAATTTATGACTTTTACTAATTTATATAATAAAATAAACCTAAAAAAGATTTAATTTAATTAATTTCCACTCCTAGAATTGAACCCGGGACCTCTGCATGAAGGGCAAATGACCTAGTCACTGCTCTATCGCCACACATAATATTTTAGTTTTAATACTCGTAATTAAATTGATTTCATATAGTTTTATTAAAATGTATGATTTATTTGTTAATATAGACGAAATAATAATATAAATGCTATTATTTAACAATTCTACATTAGAATAACTCATTTTAATGTATATTTAATCTCAATAACTAAATAAATATACTCACAATAATAAGTATGACAGAATTCACTCCAAAATGTAAACTGTGATTGGTGGATTTTATTTTTTAAAGTGCTCTTACTAGGTGTAATGGATATAAAAAAAATCGTTCAATTTAAAGCAAAGGGATACTTTTTCAATTTGTAGTTTATGCGTAGAATACCTAATATTCATGTGGATAAGGTGACTTTAATATTCTTTAACAAGAATAGCGCTAAACTTAAACAGCAAACAGTTTAGCGCACATTTATATCACAAATGTGACATATGTAGCGCCTTCTACAAAACACATCAAAGTAGGAATTAGATTAGGATTTCTCGTGCTCAAAAACCACCATTTCCAATCTTTTATATCCAAAAACGTTAAAATTATTGCAAAAAAACAAATCTATATGAAGCAACATATTATACTTCTATGTATATCCTGTATACATGTATGTATAGTTGAAAGTTAATATATTCTAGAATGTAATTATTATAAATAAATTAAAAAATAAAGTAGTAGGCCTTTTTACTGAGGCCTTTCCTATGGGGCCTCAGTATTGCATTCGTGCAGACGAAAACATTTTCTTACACCTATTTTTTAAAACTTTTTTTCATGTTTCCGAAATTGAATAATTACTTTTAACTTAACTTTAACTTAACTATTGATTTTCAGAATTTTCGGTTCATCCTAACTACTTTAATATCAATTTTCTTAAAATCCTCATATGCATTTCTTATGTGACAATTTTAGGAATTTCAATTATTTCTAACGTCAACATTCCTAACATTCTTAAAAATCCATAAATTGCAAACATTCTCTAACGACCTGTCAAACAATAGCTGTTGATAGTAAAGGTGACATGTCTAAGACGGGTCGTGACCTTCATACTTGCAACCACAACCATTTTGAAGGCTATTTTTATTCGAAATTAGTAGCCAAGCCTGCCAATTTATGAAAAATATATAAGCAATTTCTTAAAAATGACTTTTTTATGGTGGTGCTAACTTAAGCGTACTATTATTTGGCCCCTAACTACAAAAACACCATCAAATTTACTGGCTATCTGTCGCAACCCCATAGAATAATTAACCGGCCATTTTATTTGGCAAAAATCATAATAATGCTTGGCTGTGCCTGTCAAGTATCAAGATGTCAACTGTGATGTGTGAATGGCTCTTAAATGTCAAATTATTTAAAAATGTATACTTATTTTGATATTTATTGCAAATAATTTGTAGTGTATCTCAATTCAGGCTTTCCATAAATAAGGTAGAGCAAGACAGATAATATGATGTTCTTATACAAAACACTTTTTTATTATATAAAAGAGAGGTAGGATATAATGCTGTTTTTTTTTGTAGAAAATTTTTATTATACGATTTTGGATTACATATTCAACCAGCGAATTGTAAATAATAATTAGTAAACTTCTAGTCATAAATTTAGTCAATAAATAAAATTTAAAAATGTATCTTCTTACCTTGGTACCGAGGTATTTGGTTGTGTTTTTTATTTTAATAATAAAGTTGTCATTTATTTGTATGTTGAAAGAAGGCCTTTGTAAATTACATTGCTCTCTATGTATCTACTTTAACACAAAAATAGTTTTGTGGCTATAAGTTGTTGTAACCATCTTCGCAAAACTATTAATAATTTAAATATAGTAAGTAGTATTAATATAACATCAAGTAATTTTTTAAAATAAAGTACATGATCTCAAAACAGAAATAATTTATAATAAATGCGGGTAAAACGAGAGGTAAAATAACAATAAATTAATGGAAATACTTAAAAAGGGCAGGTTTAAAGAGTATTATCACAAGAAAGTATATCCGTTCTGTTTATTTATCAAGTATTGTTTGAGGTTACTTTTGAATACATTTATTGTTTTTTTTTTATTTCTATTAAATTTTTTAAATTTTTAATAAAAATTGTATTTTGGGAACTTTTAGTGATGGCTTGCCGTACATGAAAGTCAGATTGGCTTCTTGTATTATAGTTGTGCTATTCCGAATTATATTGAATATTTTCTAATAGATCTGATGCGATGGTACTACGTTATTTTTATTTTATAAATAAATATCAGTCATGTACTGAACATAATTCTGAATTGAAAGCCAATTTATTTCTTTTAACATAGTTGCAATACTCATCCTTTTGTCCTTTATTAATATTATATAAATAGGCGAAGTAAGGAGCCTAAATATTTTACATGAGCAGGCTTAAGAGATAAAGGGGCCAATTATTACTGGATAAATTGTTCAAACAAGTTTGTAAACCCTAATCAAAAGGCGATATATAATGGTTTTAAAAATCAAGGCTTGTGAAAATCATCACATGGTTTAACCTAATTAATACCAATGCTTCACAAACCAAAAAATTTAACGTCCTAATACTACTATCGGTTTTCGGTCTTTCGTTCCAAGTTAAATCATTTCTCGTTTTTGTTACGCTACGAGTTCACTCTTGTGGGCCTCGGTTTCAATAAGGTGGGAACCATTATTTTAGAGTCTATATATTAAATTAATGATGAGATACCTCTTATACAAACTTTTTGATTTTATTTAAACAAAAAATATAGGTAACATTTTAAACCAATTAAAATCCCTGCCTTGTAAAAATGGACAATTTTTGTACAATAAAAATAGCAGAAGCAGAACCAATCTAGTATATGTATTATAGTAAACTAACTTATTAACTATTTTAACATATTGACTTTTTCAATTGAGATTTTCATTATTTATAAATATTTCAAATTTCAAATTTTATATATACTTGTGCGACAAAATTATTGTGGAAAAATATATGATAAAAGCAATATATTTAATAATATTTATTTATGACATACAGCATAGGTCCCAAAAGAGAGCCTTGCGGAATATTCATCTCGTTAATATTATTAATTAAATGAAATTCAGACGTATTAAATGATAAAGTTCTTATTTAATTTGACTGGTTTTGAAGAACATATTAAATTATATAATCTTTACTTACTACCTATATTTTCATATCCATATTTTTGTTATTCTAAAATTACACGAACGAATCATATTTTTAAATAGTTTTGTATATTTTGTATACCTATAGGTATTTGTGCGATAAAATTATTGTGAAAAAATATATGATATAAGCAATATATTTAATAATAATTATTTATGATAGGCAATTAAGTAGGCATGCAAATTGAGAAGCATAGGTCCCAAAAGAGAGCCTTGCGGAGTACATATCTCAATAATATTATTTATTAAATGAAATTTAGACTCAAATGTCTACGTTCTTATTTAATTTGACTGGTTTTGAAGAACATATTAAATTATATAATTTTTATTTACTTACTACCTATATTTTCATATCCATATTTTACAAAATTACGATTTTTTATACGAACGAATCACATTTTTAAATAGATCTGAATCTAAATTTAAAAAAACAAACTAAAAGTAAATAATCTCACTAGACCAATTTTAGATTACCGAAAACATTCGATTTAGAGGTTATATTAATCTAGTTTCTCGAATTTAGTAACCCAAACTAATCTGTTCGTATTCTAAATTTGGCATAAACGGTCAAAACAACTTACGTCAACATCTACTAACATTGTAAATAATATATGTATATCATAGAAAAAATAAAAACCATCTAACTATCCTAACCATCCGTGAAGGATGTTTACGTCGAGAAAAATCGATGCCAAAAGAAGAAAAAATACAAAGCGCGCCCCGATTACAGATGGCCTTGATAGTTTCCTAGAAAACCGAATAAAAAAATGGTTCGCGTCTACGCTAGACGGGAATGTAGAAAAAAATTCGATTTGAAACTGCGCGATAGAAGGACGAAGACGGAAACGGCCATCATCCTGCGAGAAAAACAAACAAAAAAAAAACACCCGGAACGCCAAACGAAAGGGAAAGCCGCAGCAGCATCACTAGACGATTTTACCGGTCAGGGACGCCGTTGTTTTGTTTAAAATACCGTTGCCATAGAAACCGGTACACAAATCTTCTAATATCGCACTAGCAGCAGAAGGTGCGAAGGTGCATTTAAAGTAAACCTAAATTTAGTGCGTTAAATTAAAGTGAAAGTATTTTTAAACGATTGGTGATTGTGTGATAATTTTCATACAAATTTGTAGCCAAAATTTTTACATTTTTTAACAAATGGTTTGTTGTCTATTGTGAATGTTCGGTTAAGTATGTATTCGTCAAAATTTGGACTATTAAATTATGATAAAAGAGGTCTTAGTGTATTTATTTATTAAATAATTGTCTTTACAGGATGATGTTACTAATTATAAAAAAGTTTTAACAGTCATTAATATCTATTGTAAAAAAATTGTTGCTTATTTCGATCTAAATTTGAAGTCACAATATTTTATATTTTTTGATTGGGAAATATTTCTTTAACAGGTGATGAATTTATTTAGATGTTCAATTTTAACGTAAAGCAATTTGCTGTTAATAATTATTTATAGCTACAAATTTTTTAATTATTACTATGGCTTTTTTTTGTAAAAATTAAGTCATAGTTGTGATGAATTTATTTAATTATGGTCTTCGTAAGCCGGAAAAGTTTCTTGAAAAATATTAGCACAAAAAACAGAAAGTGTTGACCTACCTGTGAGAGTTAATAGTCATTGAAAAGTTTGTATTTTTCGTTCGAGATCCATCCTTTTGTTAGGGCAACATTTTTTTCGTTGGCGCGTTCAGTGGAGCACACTTAAAGGCACACAATAAAAATGAATGAGCTCGATAAAAAAAAATTAACGCGGCAAATTTAAAAATTAAAAAAAAAACTGTTTAACTATCGTAACTGTAACTGTCTTATAGTGGCGGAACACTCGGTGTAGTTATAGTAGTAGTATCAAGTTGGCACCCGTCCGCAAATGCACATCACGAGTGAATATTAAAAATTGAAGCGCGCAAAAAATGAAGAGAGCCGAGGACCGCTTATTCTTTATTGGGACATGGCTATGAGACATCTGCTGTAATAAGCTAGCACTAAAAAATAGTGCGTGTGCCCGCCACACCACCCCTCCCGCCTCTCTCGGGTTCGGAATGAAAATGCGCAGAATAACGAGTCGGTACAGGCCCGCAATTAAAAATATCAAAATAAAAAAATCGAACACTAAATCTGTGCCTCCGTTGCGACTACGGCCGCCCGCCGAATATGCGGGGCTGTTTCACTCTCTTTTTCACCCGTTTCCTGACTTTTTCTTTATTTCGCAAGCGAACTTTGTTGCGGCGACATGTCACCTGTCGCGGACGCTCGAGAGCCGGTCGTCGCTTCGACGACGCTCTCGAGGAAAGTTTCGGAAAGCGATATGTTTGGAGATAATTAATCTGGGGGTCGTTCACTACACTTATTCTCCTCTGTTATTATTATTATTACCCACTTAAATATTTAGATTAATATTATTAATGTATTTATCTCAAGAATTTTTTTTTTTATATTTATTAAAATGACTTATTTGTTGCTCTAAGTGCTAATGTTGTACACTAATCGCATTTCATAGCATAGCTTCAAATATTTTCGTTTGACTGCTTACAATGTAAATGAACTAATACAATAGCTGTAAGTTTCACAATGCGATGATTGTAAATATAACTTGCAGTGATTTTTACTGTTTGTTACAATTACAAACTGTTTTAATTTTAAATATACAAATTTATTTGGGGCCTACCTATAGGTAGGTATCTAATTTACAAAGGCGCCGGAACTCAAAAATTGCTTTAAGTGCCCGGCCTCTATGCAGGGTTCCCTCCCCCCTCCACACCCCACTTAGGGTCACCACCGGTTTTTTAAAAGCACTATAGAAGCCATTTTAAAGCGTTAATTTTATGAAAATTTTCTTGAAAAAAACGGTATTGTCAAATGTCGAATTGCTAGAGTTTTGAGGATTGAAGCGGCAGACGGAAGTACCAACAATTGGTAGGCTGGAGACTTTCCCCTAAATCGGGATATCTGGCAACCCTATATTCTTGGTGCAGCCACCACTGGTATTCAGTCGTGTTACGGTGGTAGAGTACCAATGAAATAATTAGAAACACAATTTAAACAATTATTAACTATCATGAATTTAGAAAGAGATTTTTGATGATTTATTAATACACATATAGGGTGTCCCAATAGTGTGTGGAAGTTCGATATATCCTATACTATAGAAAATATCATACAATGTTATTTACAAAAGTTGTAGATAATATTAATCTGCACATTTCAAAATTATTTTCGATTATACAGAGTGATCCATAACTTCAGATTTGATCAAACCTATCTTTTTTTAAATGGGCCACCCTGTATTTAATTGTAAATTTGAATTCCCCTGACTTTGACCTTCAAGAAAATACCAACATGTATAAGGTTAGGGGGCGTCCATTAATTACGTGAGGTGTTCAAGGGGGGGGGGATAAAACTAAATCTTTCTAAATCTCACTTGGGGGGAGGGGGGGGGGTTTCGTAAATCTCACGTAATTTTTTTTCTAGTAGAAAACGGTGTAAAATTGCGTGAAAGTAAAGTTAAATTATAGTAAAAGTATTTCTAGAATAAAATATGGAAAAATCTTATAATTATGTTTATTTATTTTTTAAACGAATATAACACAAAATCTGTACCACATAAACAACTTTATTCAATTTTTTGATTAAGCGACTAGTTTCGGCCAACTGGCCATCTTCAGGCCTACAATATTTATTTTTTATTAATTTCCATTTAAGTATTTATCATTTAATTTTATTAATGTGATTTTAAATAATTGCAACACTCTCAAACACTAGTCTTTGCTAGTCTTAAATAAAAGTAATGGAACATATTGTGTTTTTGTTTTTTTTTTAATAATCCAACACATTTACACCCAAAACACGAATTTTGAAAAATCTCACGTGAGATTAGGGAAGGGGGGGGAGGGAGTTAAGGAAAATCTTACCAAATCTCGCCAGGGGTGGAGGGGGAGTCAAAAAATCCTCAAAAATACCTCACGTAATTAATGGACGCCCCCTTATACTGGGTATTTTGGAAGCAGTTTAAACCAATTTTATATGAAAATCGTACTAGGTTCAACACTCTATATATTTCAAAAGAAACAATCGAACATCAAAATTTTTTTGATGAATCATTTTTAATAATACTCTACTTTTATAAGAATATACTAATTTTTTCCTAGCGCTCGGACCCGTCAAATTGTTATTTTAGTGGGAAACATTTATTTGGCAGTTTCACCCCCTCTAGCAGCGGTGAAACCGACCCCAAAAATCTTCAATGGAAAGTGGTGTCAAATGATATATCATTTTGAAAGTATTTTTACCTAGATTTTAACCCGCTACTTAATCGCTACTGTCTTTCTAGACATGATCTTTAAACCATTTTTATTTTCGTTAAACCTGACCCTGAGCCTCCATGCACAATAGAGGTTTTGTTTAAAATGCTCTCGGGCATTTTCAAGCATCTGACGAACAGTCAGTGCAAAATGATCGTCTTGCTAGAATATTAAGTTATTTGCTATGTACTAATCGTCATTGTCAATCAACTCTAGTAATGCTGGATGAATGGCGTTTCCTAATAATTCCAGATACATTTTCCAGGTAAAAAAAGGGTCCAATTATACGGTCACCAAAAATGCCAGCCCAAGCATTCAGTTTTTCCAGATGTTGCGTATGCCCTTCATGAAATATTCTGGGATTTGAAACGGACCAATATGGAGAGTTGTGACAATTTACCGTACCATTTAGGAAAAAAGGGATATTCGTTAGAAAAACACACCTTGAAAAGAAATTGCTGATTATTTATTGCCCGTTCAGTCATAATTTCACAAAATTGTAATCGCCTACCAAAATCATCTTCGTTAAGTTCTTGGAAGTTGATGTATTTTCTAGGGATGAAACTTGTGTTTTTTCAATATCTTCTGAATGCTACTTCTCTAAATACCAGATGTTATCGCCAACTGTCTAGTACTCAATGTGGGTTCTTGAACAACATACCCTAAAATCGTTATCCCTGTAGCTTCATTTACTACAGCATTTTCTATTTCACGTTTTTTGCTACCTACTGACCGTGTTTCTCAAAATTTTTGGACTAACTGCAAAATATATTTTCTATGGCAACAGGAATAAAACTAGAATTGTTACAAAAAATACTTTTTTTAAACAATGTTAAACTGGTTTTGCACTTTTGGTGAGCCACTGTATGGGCTACGTAGATAGTAGCGATCTAAAACTCGGGGGTTATAATCTTGCTAAAAATACGTTCAAAATAAGATATCATTTGACCTCTCTTTCCATTTAAGATTTTACGGGTGAGTCTCACCCCCGCTAGAAGGTTTCCTTTCTAGGGGTGAAACTGGCAAAAAAATGTTTCCCCCTAAAATCAAAAATTGACGGGTCCGAGCGTTTTTTAGTAAATGACCTGGGTTACTCGCGAGCACTACTAGAGAGTTATTTCTGACTCTTAATGAATTGTCGCTCAAAGCCGACTCTGTTCTTTATTTACAACCTTACCCGCGATATGAAGTTGATCGCTGGC